ATACTTAAAGCCTATTTATATTTACTAAGCAAAGCAAGAATAGAGTTTATGCTTAAATAATATAAAAGTTAATATAATTAATTAAGGTAGAAATTTTTATTATGCTAAGTAAATTAATAATTATTTTATTACTAAATTTAACTTTAGCTTTTCTTATAATAGTTATATTAATTTAATATTTTAGGTTTTTTTATTGCAATGCAAGAAATTGCTTATATTTAATTATAAATATTAATAATGCTTTTATATTTAATAAGATTCCTTAAAAATAAGTTTAATTATATTTATTCTTTAAAATAAATTAACTAGCTATAATAATTATCTTTATTTAAAAGATATTATTTCTTATAATTTAATATATAAATGCTTTATTAGCTAAGAAATTAATATTTATATAATAAACCTCCTTATTAAATCCTACCTTTATAATATAAGTATTACTATTATAATTATTATCTTAATTTTATTTATCTTTATATTTATAAAATTTATTTTTATTATTTATTTTATATTTTTTAAATTTACTTAAAAAAGTATTAAAGTTATTATTATAATCTTTATATTTATATTATATTAAATAGCTTCTTTTTGCTAAATGTTGCTTATTAGCTAAATATTTAATTAATTAGCATTTCTCCTTTTTATAAATATAATATCTTTTCTTTTAAGGTTATCTTCCTCCTCCTTTGCAAGCATTATTACTTTAAGCTTTATAATTAATGCCATAAGATCTTAGCTGCTTAAAGTTTAAATGGCTTAGGTTTGGTTAGCTAAACCTTTAATTTCCTTAAAACGCTTAAAATTATAATTATTATTTTCTTCTTAGCTTTTAGCTATTATATTTATAATTAATATAATATTAATTTAAGACTTTATTTATAATATAAATTATAATTGCATAGCTAAGTTATGTTTTTATTGCAAATCTTAGGTTTAAAAATAACTCTTTATATAATTAAGTTAGCTTAAAAAAAGCTATTTTTAGCTTAAGAACTTCTTTATAAGCTTTAATTATTATTATTTTTAAGTTATCCTTCTTAATATAATTTTAGCTTAATACTTATTAATAAAGTTATAGCTTATTAAGTATTAAATATAAAACCTTATATAAGTTTTTATTTAAATTTTATGCTTTTATCTTTATAAATATTATTATTATTTAATTTATATAGTAATGCTAATAATTAAGGTTTATATTAAAATATATCTTAATTTTAAGGTATGCTATTATAAATATATTAATTTAATTTATAAAATAAAGGTAATAGGCCTTAGCTTAATTTTTAAGCATTTAAGGAAAAATTATATAAAATTAATTTAGCTAGATTTTAGCATAATAATAAATATTAAAAAATATCTTTATTTTATTATTTAATAAGTTATATAGGTTTTTAATATATTTATAAAAGTTATTAAAGGTTTTTATAAATTATATTAACTTTATTAAATTTAAGTATTTATTAAGAATATATTATAGGGAAAGAGTTTTATATAAGTTATACTTTTTATTTAATAAAGGTATTTTTAAGGTAGCTTAAGGTTATGCTAAGTATAGTATATATTTTTAGTATAAGCTTTATTTTTATCTTTTTATTAATAATAGTGGGCTTTATTAGCTATATTGGTTTTTAATGGATTGCATTATTAGGTTTAGGTTTTATAATTATATATTTAAAGCTAGCGGCGGTAATAAATGTTGCTTTAGGGATTATCCTTTTAATGATTATTATTATTTAAAGCTTGCTTATAATGCTTATAAGGGCTATGCTTATAGTTATTATTTTTAAAGTTATATGTAATATTTATTTATGCTTAATTTTAGGGCTAATAAAACATTATAAAGCTTATTATTAATTTATTTTAATCTTTCCTTAGCTTAGGTTATAATAATTAATTATAATGTTATAAGTTGATTATTATATTTTATATAAATGCTTTGCATTTAAAGGAAGATTTTTAAGTATTATTAGCAAGGATTTAGTAATGCTTTAAATATTATTTATATTTATATTGCATAGTTTTTATAATAGATAATAAAAAGGTTATTATTATAAAGGTTTTATTATGTATAGCTTGTTAAAGTATTTATTAAGTAGGTAACTAAGTGTTTTATTAATGCTTTTTATATAAAAGCTGTAAATTATAGTTTTAAGTTAATGTATTTATAATAGGCTAAGTTAATTAAAGTTTAAGCAAGCATTTATTAACTATATACTCTTTAATGAAAGCTAGTGGCTTTTTAGCATTATTAGCTATGCTTATAGGTTTTTATAATAAATATTATAAAGAGTAAGCTATTAATAAAATAGGTAATGTTTAAAAGCAAGTTAATAATGGTAGTTTAATAATAAGCAAGTTATAATTATTAAGAGGAAAAAGTTATTGGTTTTTTTAGGTCTTAAAAGCTAGGGCTTTTTCTTATTATTAGGTTTTTTTATATTAACTAAAAGCATAATGCGTAACTTATGCTTGCTTATAATGTAGCGTTGCATTAGCTTTAGCAGTTGCGATAGTTATAAGCTTTGTTTATTTAATAGTTGTAATAATTGCAAGCTTTATTTATTTAGCAAAACGGAGCTTTGTTAGGTTTTGCTAGGTTTTAAAGAGGATTTAAAAATGGGTTTGTTTTTAGTAAAGTCTTATATATAATAAATGCATATTTCCTAAATAGTAATGAATATGTATATGGATATCATAGGGAATGCTACTTAGTTTATTTAATCTTTGCAATGTTTGCTTAGGGAGTTTAATAATATAGGGAGGCTTAAAGAAATAGTTATTATTATATAGCGCTTGCTAATAAGGAAAATATAATTTTTGGGTTAGGGAAATCTTTATAGGGTTACCTCTTTTACCTTATTAATTTATAGTACTTATAATTACTAATTAATGTTAATAGGTTTCTTATATATATAATAATCGTATGGGAAGCAATCATGTATTGGTATTGTTTTATCTAAGTTCTAAGAGGCTACGTGCCCCGGAGGGGATAACTAAAGTAGCCTTCTAAGTGACGAGGGTCGTACTTGCCAACATCCAGCTTGGTAGAAGTGCGAGTGGCAAAAGTCTCTTATTACAGGAGGCAGATGGATCGAAGAACAGGAAACATTGGCCTTTTGAGTCTACACATCATAGTACTTAAACTGTATATGCAGCCGCCGCCTTCTCGTAGAAATACTCGATTGTCGCTGAACGCCACCATCTTCTTGAACCAAACCATCATGCATGTGACTAGCACCGGCTTGCACGAGTAGTATTTCCGTTCACGATGCGGAAACCTCTTAGGTGCTTCATCTTCCCGCAGCTTATGTGTTACACTGCAGATTTGGGCAGCTCTTCTAGGCTCGCTTACGGCGATGATTCCTCTCGGTGCAGCAACTTCCGGGGCCGGCAACCTCTCGCAACCTATCACACGATCCGTGTGGTAGTGGGATCAGTAAGCCCAAGTGTCGCAATGGGATTCAATGTCCTGCATCAGGTGTAGATCGAATGTGGTCTACCCAATGGCTCGTTGATCAGTTTACTAGTTCATGATACTTGCCGTCCCTAGGTTGTGCTAAAAAGAGGTCGCAGGACCCCGGTCGGACTTTCTCCAGACCAAGGGGTTCATCTGGCGTAGTTATGGCAGAAGTGATCGGAGTGCAGCACACCACGTATACTTGTCATGGAGTTGTTGTTTCGTGGTGGTTCCTTGATTTAGTGGGCGAGGAATATGACTGAAGCAAAATAAATGTTCTCGCGAAGATCAGCAGAAGGGAGCGAGAGTGCCGAGGCATTGAGCTAGCCCAAGACGCCCTAAAATATTACGGGCGTGGATCATGATAAATAGCTTCTATAGGTTAGTTGCTTACGAATTGGAACTTGCTTTGTGCTGTTGATCTGCAGGCACTGAGAAAGAAGTATGCACGGCCGGAACACGTTATTGACAGGTCGCAAGCCAAGTACCTAGGCATTATACCCATTGCATATTATCACGCACCTATGACGAATAATTATGGCCTGAGGCTTGGTATTTACGGTTACGTATATAATTATATCAAGCAATGCAGCTTACAGACAAGTTCAAATCAATACACTGTGGTAGAATTATTCTCTTCACTTTAAACACGTATTATGAAAGATAACTCGAGTCACTGATAATTATTTCCTAATGTTCCCAGAGTGGTAGACCCGGAATCGGAAGTTGAATTAATTGGCTGCGTTGTGCCCAGGTGGTCGATGAAGACACACAGATCATCCTTGACTCTGCCTGAAGCATCACCCTGCACCGCACAGATTCAGCACAAGATAAGCACTACTTGTCTTTGCCAAGCATGTATGCTAAGCAGTAGCCATGGAAGTGCGTGGCACTATCTTCGAGTAATTGTGTGCGCACCCAGCCTGAAGTCCGGTCAACACCTATGAACATCGTTGATTCGTGGATCGAATGCGCTGGTAGTGTAGAGCAATCAGACTCCATCGCAGACCTGAAAGCCAGACGAAACACCTGATCAACACTAGCCGTCGAGTGCTCATAAGATGTCTGGGCATGTGGTGTATTCTGTTTGCTCTGATCGGGCTGTGCTATTGTTCTCGCCTTTGCCAGACGAAGACGGTCAAAGTGGGATCCTCAAGCATTACCCTTCCCCCGGTGTAGCTCGTGCGGAGCAGGCAATGCGCTCTGTGGGCATTGAACCACTTCTAAGACAGCCTCTCCTCTTCATAGGCTCAGCATCCGTTGCGATACAACACTCGAGTTGCTAGAGTTCCCTCATCACGGGTCCGAAGCTAGGCACTCCTCGGTTGTCGACCCACGTACCGATATTGGTTCGACAGCCATGTCTGCTGCGTCTGGTTGTGCCCTGCCGAATCGCCGTCATGCATAGCTGTGTCGGCCACTGAGACCTCCGTTGAAGCCGGAGTGCTGTTGACGAGTGCTGCAAAGCAAAATTCCATCTGAGCCGGCCCTGCCAGCACCTTGAAGCCATAGAAAATCCCCATCCGCAGCTCCCCCCTCGAGATCAAGTAAACATGGTCTTCCTGTCTTCGCCACTTTCAGGACCTGGGTTGTATCTGACCTCGGAAGGCGCCTGGTAGTAGCCGTGGAGAGCCTCGCTCCGGGCGATTTCCCCCTCGTCCACGCTCGCCCTCATCGCCATGGTTGCAGGCGCCGGCGTTGTTGGTGCATAGCTTGTGTCGATCTCAGAGAGGGTTCTTTGCCGGGTCTGAGCGCCTCCGGCTGCCTCTACATCTCTGGCAGGGTCTTCCACCTTCTCGTAGCGTGGCTTCCATTTGCGAACGTACAGAATTCGCAGACCGATACTTAATAATACGACGATGAGGATCAGGACGAGGAAAGCGCCTATGATCCAGGCCGTACTGGACTGGATCAAGGCGGCGCCGTCGCTATGAGAGCTGCCCATCATTTCGAAGGCTGGGGAGTAGTGGTCGTGTTCGAATCAATGCGGTAGAGAAGCTGGCAGGTGAAGATCAACCAGGCCTCAGAGAGGCGTTCTGGATATCGCAAGGTGCAGGGTTTGAGATGCAGTCAAGCGCTCTGAATGATATTGGATTCTGGAGTGAGACCACGCCGTCCAAGAGAGAGAGAGAGAGAGAGACAAAAAGGGATTTCTCGGGAACTTGAAAGAATTATTCTTGTCACCTTGTGGCTTCAGTGCAAGAGTGCAGTCGAGTAACGGAGACGTAGACGAGAATGCGCAGAGTGCGTGCTTCACCTGAAGAGACGCCTCGAGCTGATATATCTCACCTGTGCCGACCCACACTGGTAGGCATGCGAGATTGTCCATTTCTGGCCGTTTTCAACGGACGCTATATTTAAAAAGGAGTCGAAGCAAGGGGCGGGATCAATTTGGCAGTCGATGTTTGACGAGAGGTGCAGCGAGATTGGGCCATGGACTCGGATCCTCCGAGGTGGGAATTCGAGCGTTTCTCGTGTTTGCTGGCAGGGGCGCTGCGTCCTGTTATTAGCCGACGGCGCTTTTGCTGTGGGTTCCTGCCAGAGGAGTGGTCTTGGCTAACAGCCACTAGCACGTCCTCGACGCCCCAATTTCTCCGTGTCTGTGGAGCCGCACCCAGACCGACCACAAACCCGCTGGCGACCTCTGCCACTCACCGCCGGCCTGGAACCCGGAAGGAGGCCATCGTGGCATCGTGGCGCCCTTCTTATTACGGCAATTGTGATGATGGCGCCGCTCAAAATATCCATCCGCGGGGTAGACGTGGTGGTCACGGCCCAGCCGCTGGGAGCCAGCGCCTTTGCGCCCTTTGGCGAGGTTATTCAGAACCCCAGGCCTGGCCTTCACCCCTCCAATTTCGCCGCTGCCGGTCCGCTGCCCTTGGCCGCCGTGTCGGCAAACCAGGGCTCTGCCATCAAGTACCAGCATGTCACCCGCATGGTGAACACGTACGACCAGGCCCCGAGCGGCAGGCCTGGCGTCGCCGTCATGAACATGTTCGTCTGCGCGGCGCGGAAGCTGGGGACGAGCCAGAGCACATCTCACAGCACCACACCGTCCTCCCGCATTTTCGAAGTGGGGATACTCGAACGCCATCCCTATACAACACAGACCTTTACTCCGCTCAGCACGTCCGGCCCTGCCAGCCCGCTGCTGGGCGAGCACGGATATCTCGTTATTGTGGCCCCTGGGCTCCAGACCCCCTCGGGCTCATCTGCCGGCCGAACGCCCAGCCATACAGAGGCCACCGCGCAGACAGGCCGTGGAATCCACTACAACAGCCAGGCCCAGAGCCAGCCAGATCTGCAGCGGCTCAAGGCTTTTGTTGCAACGACAAACCAGGCAGTCACCTACGGTGCCGGTGTGTGGCATGCGCCCATGGTGGCCCTTGGGCCCGAGGGATCAACGGTCGACTACGTGGTCACCCAATTTGCTAATGGAGTTGGGATTGAGGACTGTGAGGAGGTGGTCATGGAATCTCCAGAGAACAATGGGCATATCTTGGTTGAGCTGCCGCCGTCGTCCAGCTCCAAAGCTTCTCGGCTTTGACATGCCCCAACTCAGCTTGCGAGACACACACAATAACAAGTGCAGTATCAAGCACCCAAGTGCAAATGATTTCTGTTTGCACAACACAGGGAAGACTGGCACCTGATGTCACTGACTTGCTTGACGAGACAGTTGGCAGCACCTCCATCTCATGCCCCATGTTCCAAAGTTCTATTTTCGTCTCTCCCGGAAGCCAATGGAGCACGCTCCCCACGGCTCCAAAGCCTGGTGGAATGAGATCCGTGACCCACACCCCAAGACAAACAGAAGAGAGACATGCTGAGCCAATACCTGCACAGGAAGCTTCCTTTGGATGATTCCGCTTCCCCAAGAGGCCAATCAACCACCAACAGAATGAATGAAGATCTTCAAATTCCCACAGAAGGCTACCATGGGCCGGCTTTTAACTCCGTCCCCACTGTAATATGGGATCGCGGTTATGATACTTCCTCACTCTCCCAGCCATTGCCCAATGAGCTTTCTCATTCAGTGAATCTTGTGTGATTTCATACTACCTTCCAATTGCAACATGAGATCGCGATCGCGATCCCTCTTCCTCCCCCATTCGGCCAATTGCAAAGTCACACTTCTGAACATTGTAAGAAGGGACCGCGGTTGATCTTTAGAAGCTTGGAGGAGCGGAACGGGGCGGAATCTTCTACAATGACTGCATCAAGTCCACCGGGTCATGACCTAAAACTATAAATTAAATCTCCTCGTCCTCAGAAATCTCAAAACCCTGTCCTTCTTTCTTACCATTCCCTGCCTCGACTGGCACACCTTCATCAGCAGAGATAAGGGTCCCTCTCACGCTCGTTCGACCGTTTCATCTCTCTCCCTCTCTCACCATCACTCTCACTCGAAAACATAACAAGCCCCCTCAACCTGGCAAACGGATAGTCTTTTGGAGAGCACACATAACCACACGGTTGAGTGTGACAACCCTCGTACTGAGCACAAAGTCTCTGCAAACTTGTGTTTACATGCCTTCACCATTCTTGACTTTGAGCACATCCCAGCAATGCGATTTCGTCATGTTAATGTTTCCACGTGCGACCTTCATCTTCAGAATACCATATTGCCCGTCAAACTCGCGGACAAATGAAGCCGATCGCAAGACACTTTGAGGGCATGTTCATCCAGGTCGTGCTAAACGGTATCTAAGCTGACAGCGGTTGAGTATATCAGACGGTGGTTCTGGTATTCACTGCAGCGAAGACTATTCTCTTTTGTTGACCTTCTTTCCGGCTTAAACAATTATTTACCGGCCCTGCGCGTCACACGAAGCTATCTGGAGCTATAGCCATGTCGGCCGCAGGCTTAGGATGGGATCATGGCTCCCGAGTCGCCTCCGATCGACTTCGGTTGGAACCCGAAGACAGACAGCAGACACAACACGCAGCGGAGCTAGCAGCAACAGAACCAACAGCAAGTTCTCGCCCGAGGGTTTCGATGCCCCCTCAGACTGGCGGTGAACAAAGGGAGCCGTTCTGACCGATGAACTCGAAGCTTCACCCGGAGGCCGTGACCCACCTCCAAAGGAACATCGAAAGGATGAAGCCACTCACAACACAGGTGGGATAACCCGCTGAGCTGTATTTGAGAACCTGACTGTCTCCAACACGGCCGGCCAAAGAAAGGCGGAGGGTACCACCAGATGGACTGTCAAACCTCGGCGTCCCTCATCCCAGACACGGAATAGCTGCACGAATACAATGCATCGATGGTCCACCGCAGAATGTCTGATCCTTCAAAGGGGTCCCGCACTCTGATTCCACGAAAGAGTATCTTTGATTAAAGACTAGGGTTGGCCGGCGAAGATAAGCCTCGACAAGAACGAGCACAACAAGAGTCAGCCTGAAGATAAGCAGCACACAACGGCGCCACAACGGCGCACCGGTCACGAATGTCTGGGGTGGTACTGAGTACACCTCTGCTCATTCCGGGGCGACGCAGCACCTCGTCAAAGGCGGCGGCCTAGGTGCCAAGATGAGAGAGCTCAGGTGCTCCCTGAAAACATCAGCACGGGCTGTCGTTCAAGTACCTCAAGTCGATTGACCTTTGCCTCAGTCTCCCAACTGATACACGCATCCGGCGGCCCTGGACCAGAGGTTATGAGAGAACCTGCTGGTCTATGCTTGGCGCATGCCTGGATAGAGTTCGGGGGCTGGAAGAGATCAGCCTCTGTTTTGAGAAGGCTGAGCCCAAGGTCGGAATTGACGCGCTCATGGACGCCCTAGATGAGTGTTTGCTCAGTGAAGATGTTCAACTGCTCGATCTAAGCCGCCTGAACCTGCGGGATGGTCTTGCCAGGCGATTTTCTTTGCTGGATGTCCTCTTCTCCAGGTTCTTGGTCTGATGCTGCCGTCATCTGTTACAAAGGCTGGGCATATCCTCTTTGTGCGAGCAAGACGTGATACTTGCTGAAGGAAGCCGACGCCGTGTGCTTGTTCGCCTCGCATGAAGCTGGCTTGTGAAGAGCTGGGGGCGTTCACGGTTCATACCCACAGCTTGAGCTCTTTCTGCGACTATGGTCCGCGTTTCAGGCCAGGTCGCGGGTGACCATTACACCAGCATGCTTGCAGAGCGCGAAACTCGACCCCCACGAGCGCACCGCCTACCGGGCTATTCTCGTTTCTATGGAATCGTTCCTCACACTTTAGGAAACTAACCATACGATCATCTCTCCTTCAAAAGAGACCGGCTCCTTTTATTCACGAGAAAACGACACTGTCATCTCCAAAGCCTCGATCTCGGTATCAAGATCGGGGTCTGTAGTGGGCAGAACCAGGAGGATATTCACCTTGGCGACAGCACTGTTCACGACGGTGCGGAACTCTTCGTCAAAATCTTTCGAACGGACGGCTCAGCGGAACATTAGAACCAGCAACACACCACCACACTTCAATCTTCCTTCTCGCGTGGTGATGGCGCCTCCGAAGTCATACGCCGAGACTGTCCGAGGGATCAGAGGACCCCGTGACAGCGGTGTGGCTTTTGATGTCAATATCCATCGAATAAAGGCCGTATGAGATCAGGCGGAAGCCCTGCACCGCCAATACCACATGTCTTTTGCATGGCGTCAAAATGGCGCCTCCGAAGTCATACGCGGAGGTCGCCCGAGGCACACGGAGACTCTGTGGCGGCGACGCTGAGCCTTTGTCAAAACCCGTCAACTGGACAGGGACGGCAACTGGGCGGAACATATTTCTGCACCGCCACCACCACAGCACATCGTCGACATCGTCGACATCGACAGGCGTCATCATGGCGCCCCCCAAATTCTATGCAGAGACTGCCTGAGGTGCAAGACGTCCTCCTCGTGTCCCTGGGCCGCCCCTCCCAGTCCTGTACCATTCTTGTCCTCATCCTTGGGGTGACAACCTGGTATTGGAACAGCTTGCTCTAAATCTCCCATTCCGCGAGACAGACATTGCGCATTCAATCACGGCCTTCGTCGTTTACTTGACTGGCGGACAAGAAAACCCCTGACAACAAGAAGGCGGCCAACAAGAGCCGATCCAACAACCCTTCCAACACCGATGAGACCACATCGCCACTCGCCAACCACAACTTCACCCTCACTGCCACCGACTCTCGCACTTCCAACCCGCGCTTTTATTTGGTGCCACCGGCGGCCCAACTACTCCAGTTCAGACCGATCATCATCAGTTCCAGTTCATACGTCCTGCTCCTGCTCAGTATGCACGTCTGCCGTTCTACTATAACACACTGCAATTGGAGGAACCCTTTCAGAGATCGATTCCAATTCAACCAATACTTACAGACTTCGTAGAAGGCTGAAAAAGGTCCGTGGGCCTGCCGGCATAGAGATCAACCACAAATAGGAAAACTCACGACAGGGCCTGGGTCAAGTGCAACAGTTGCATACTTTGGTCCCAACCAACCGTACGACATAGTTTTCCTTCACGAATGTCACGATTATGCCGTTTGTGCCGAGTACACGAGCGTGACAATCGTCGCGAGAGACCTCCCGTCCCTGCAACAACGGTCTCACCGCTACCCGTCGTTTGGGCCGATGGCTGAGCCGACACCACCCAAGTCACCACAAGCTGATGGGCAGCAATCAGTTGGGTCAGACACCGCGATGCCGACTTCCCCTGCCGACAACACTCAGGCCACTCCGGTCTTATCCCAGAGGTCCTGACTGCTTCAGCTTTGTTGTCATCACGCTCTCCTCCTATTCAAGAGAAAGCTCAAGAGGAGATTCGAAAGAACGCGAACAACTTGATCTCCTCTAATATTCCATGCGCATAACATGAAAGGCAATGCCTCACTTGCCACCACCGACGTAAACATCTGGTGCTGGACACGGGTCAATCCTAACAACCCAGTGAGCAAGTTTCATCAAGTCTACAACAGCTGGAATTCAGACCGACGTCGGCAGGCCCTCCGCCGTATGTGGAGAAGGTGTTCTGGAGCGTTTGATTGTTGCAAGAAGCAAGCCGGAAGCAAGCCGGAAGCACCCACGACACCTGTGCCCGAGAACACGGCGGCGCCCAAGAAGACTGCTGCTCCCAAGCCAGCAGAATTATGAGCGCGCATACACCTGGCCGAACACTGTATCGCCCCAGGATGAGCTCCTCCACTTACACGCAATGTCGCTATTGAATGGAATGCACCAGCCGAAGTATCCCTTCGCCACCTCCAGATGATTCAAGGATCGTTGAGCGACACAATGATCTCTTACGAGCGTGTAGCGCTCGGCTTTGCTGGGCCGTACGTCGCTTGTGCAATAAGGCCTTCGGATAAAGAAGCTGTTCAGTTGCGATGAGTAGTACCATACCAGCGCCGGAAAAACGAGCCCAAATGTTTTCGCCGGTGCGCGTTGAACATGCCAAGAGATTACTTCAGGGAAAACTACCGGGTGGGGGATGAGATTTTGGCCGTACGGATGAATGACGGAGAGTATTGTAGGTGGTCGAGCAGGAGAAGACGGAGCAGGACAACAAGGACAATCGGACCGTGACGAGCTTCCTTCTGCTTGATACACTTGCTGTCAGGAACATCATTGGAATGGGTAGAGACAGGATCAAATTGTACTTCCTGGGCCAAATGCAGTGTCACCACATCGTAGCGGGTGTTTACACCGTGTCCTATACGAAATTCCACATCGGAGCCTCTGGGTGTCGTACAGATTCCCACCAGAAGTCTCATACACATCTGGGCGACGATGAAGAAGACGGCACGTCTGGGAGGGCACAGAACGAAGATTCCAAGTTTCCAGAACCTTGTTGACTGATAGATTGGCCTTTCAGAGGCGCTCGAATTCTGCCTGATTGACTTTGTGGTAGCATGATACTCTCTCAATATTTCTATATGTCAATACTTATCTTCACAGTTACAAAATAACTCAAGAAGTACATCACACGCAAAGATAGGTAGAGACTTGAAGGGCACGGAGACCTGTGGTCTAAACTATAAGCACCGACTGATTACGCTCGTTACAAAGGGATGGTTAAACTTGTCCCCGATTCGGTCCCAACTCCTCGCGCACCTGAAAACGCGAGACACTGGCTAACCACTGAAAATCCCCTAATTGATCCAGGCTGATCCATAGCAAATACAGTCTTCTTTGCTCAGATGGTGCTGAGAGAATCCTCATAACTACCATGCCCCGTACACACACTCCTCCCTCCTGATCCTATGACCGACGACGAGAGAATTGAAGAACCGGGAGATCCATACCGCGGTCTTCCGCAAGAGAGGTCAGATCGGACCAATAGATAAGGATTTCCTTAAGCTGGCTTTTACTCGTCTGGTTCCATGCCAGTTCGAGCACTGATTCTTTCTCCCCGACCGACTTGCCGAAGGCTCTATGCTCCAGAACCTCGTAATCAACCTTCCCACTCCATTCATCAATGCTCTGCGGAAGTAACACAGTCAGGGTCCGCAATCGCTCGACCCTATTCATTTGAACCACGCGATGAAAGTCGCACAGTGGATCATCAGATCCTGTCGGCTCATGGTATTGATGGCGACCAAGACATGGCGTATCTCTGATGAAGACCATTTCCATGATAGCCAGCATGTACCGCAGACTTAGCATCATGTGTGAAGGCTGTGGCGGGTTGAGAGATAGCATATCCGGATGGACGTCACCTCTTCTGACGCGTGAGATGTACATGAAACGCACGTCGATAAATTCCCTCGAGAGCCCACGTGCTGAAAGTCCGCATGCTGTGCTCTGAAGGACCTACCAAGGTGCCTGCGAGACATATCGGGCCTCTCTGGGAACATGTCCCTAGCTGCCCTGCTCAAGGAGCGGCTGACAGTACTTCTTGCCTTTCTGTTGACTCGTCTAATATTTCCGACAAGCTCACTCGCATCGCCATCTGTTGAATTTGCACACTCGAATGAGAAATATAGTTTGGTCCGCATGGTGTCCTCGGTCGAATTCTCAGGCGAGTTCATGTAACTGGTCCAGTTGACGCAGTCAAGGACAATTACACGTTTCTTCAGCCAGGGTTCCAGATCAAAATTCCATATCAAGTCTAGTAGTTCTTGAGGCAAATCATTATAATCCTTTCCATTCTTTGGAGGCTCGTCGGGGTATTCCATCATCTGCGCTTCGCCTCCTGTGGATGGAGACGGAGAGTTGTTATGGACAGCTTGGTTAGTATTGTTGGTGGATTTGCCACGAGTGGATGTGTCCATTGTCGAAGCTCGCTTCACGCCGAAGAGGTAACTAATTCTAACGGTTGGGTATGAAAACAGCGATCTTATGGTTAATAGTAGATTCAACTAATCAAAGTTCTGGCAAAGGATAGAATGAGTCTACAGGCCAAGTGGGAAGTTGCTTCCACTCCAAAATGCACAGTGTATATATAGTGAGATAACTAACCGCAATTAAGAATTGGAAAATATGCGGCCACACACTAGTGCAGGACCGCGAGACCTTTCCATGTAAGCTGGGCTATAATTCAGATGTACAGACAAGAATACTCTAAATTAGTTTATCCCCCAATATTTAGTTCCAGCTAAAATGTGCTAAACTAGACAGAGCGCAGACCATGCATCTTTTAGACTCACAAATGGCCACCTCACATGCCGCCAGGTTCTTAACAGACTGAAGTCTGAAATTTACGAAGATATTATCTTAAAATGATATTGCGTGGAAAAAGGACGCCGTAGTAGTCCCTATGAGTTAGGGATCGGAGTTGTGACGATAAGATATGCTGATTATAAAGATCAACAGCCCGCAAATGGAAAGTACAGAAAATGGTCGGTATGCGTGATATAGCGTTGAAGCCAATGTACCATTCACACAGCGTTACTTTCTACTTGAGGGTTTGGAGCCTATTCTGGCCTGCGGAAATGGGTTCGCAAGGTAATCATTACACTCACTTCGACTGAAACCCTGGTGCACTTATAACACCTAACTCCATCTTCTCTTCCGAGGAGCAATCCATGCGGCCCATGAATAATTTAAGATAGAGACAATTGTTGCGATGTCTAAGCGAGATCGTCCTCGGCAACTTTCTTCTTCTCTGACTCAACAGTGAAGCCAAGAAAAACAGCCATTGTAGTGATGATCTAATGGAGGAATTCAAAGCCCAACAAGTCATCATATAGATGTATGGAGTCCAAATCCTGTATCGCTTATAGCAGCTTAGTGATTGAAATTATTTGAGTACACAAGAGTTACAAAAGGTTCATTAACACAATGTAAACATGCACCTATGTTCCCCTAGGATGGTCACGTAGATTACAATCTATGTTTTCTGCAGCCGTAGCAATGACCCACCACGTTAGCGCATACTTGGAAATCGAACAAAAGGCGTAAGCCCGATTAACAGAGCTCACGGTGACTTATGTACTGGACCGATGACTGGTGCCCTAAGAGTGCCTTAGGATGCCTACCATGGGGCCAGGTCTCGCAGGGCCGACAGGAGGAAGGGCCATTACTGGATGACACAACATGTAAGGTTGCTATTGGTATTCACTACACCTGACTGACCGCGTCTCACAATCTGACTTTGAGCTGAATTTGTGCTCGCATAGTGGTTCCTGCGCCTGTTCTTTCTCTGGTCTCTGTACGGTAACACATTACATACTGCCTTAGGGCGCTGGGCTGCGAGGCACGAGGCTCGATAGGATCACCTTGTCTTCTCTCAAACGCCGCCCTTCTCGCGAAAGCTTGTTATGCCCTCGACAGAGGCCGGATAAGGACCTAATCGCATGGGCACCTAGGGTGGTCTACAGCTGACAGTGTTCACAAACCCACGTACCTACTACGCCTACCCCATACCTAATATATCTACCCTTTGTTATAAGCAGAAAGTTATAAGTTTAAATTATATTATAAGTACCTTTTATTTTATTTCTTTTAATTTATTATATTATATAAAAATATTATTAATATAAAAGATATTATTAAAAGAAATTTATTATATAATAAATATTTTTAATATATATAATAAATAAAATAAAATTAATATATATTAATTATATATAAATTAATAAAATTATAATTATATGTTATTTATTTTATTTATAATAATACATTTAAAAGTTATTAAAATATTATTTATAAATAATATTTATATAATTTAATATAATATAATATAATTATTTAATATATTTATAAAATTATATAATATTTATTTATATATTATTTTATTAATTAATTAAAAATACTATTTAATAATTATATATAATTAAAATTTAATAATTTATTAAAACTTTATATATTATTTAAAAAAATATTAATAATTATTTTTAATTTTTATTAAATATTTATTTATAATTTATATTTTAAATTTAAAATAAATATTATTTTTTAAAATTAATAATTATATTTTATTTATTTATATTATTTATATATAATTAAATTATTTAAAAATAAATTTAAATATAATATTTAATAATAATATTATAATATTAATAAAAGATTATTAAATATATTTTAAAAATATTTATTTAATAAAATAAAATAATATTATATTATATAAATAAATATAACGTAGTTTATTAATAAGTAGCGAATATTAATAAGTAATGAATTTTCGCAACTTTACTTAACTTCAGCTAATATTAACACTACCTTAAGGCTAATAAATAAATAAAAAGTTAACATTAATTAATGCTAATTACTTTTAATTCCTTATTTTTAATTAATTTAATTAATTTAAAGTAATTAATATAAGTGTAATATAGGTTTAAGATAAGCAACTTTTAATAAGAAACCCGCATTTTATACTAAATAATGCTAACTATACCATTAAAAACGCAATCCACTGCAAACCATTAAAATAAATATATTTACACCATTTAATACCAACTAAGCTGGATTTACTATAATATAATTAAAATTTAATTAACTTAACCCTTCTTTATCTTTCTCATAAGTTTTTACATTATGCCTAATCTCGCCGTAATTACCATACCATTATTTAATTAATTCATTGCAAATCGCCTCCTTAGCACCACCACTCATTTTACCAACCAGCCGCTTCCCCTTTTATTTCTCTTAAATAAAAGCTTAAAATTCCTTAATAATAAATGCTCCTTTAAGCTATACTTAAGTTCTTTTAGCCCTTTAACATTTATAAATACTATATTAACATCCTTAAAAATATAAACCCAATTCTTTAAAATAATAAATTTATATGCCATTACTTATATACCCTTCGCCATTTAATTAATAACCTTTATAATTAATATAAAAAAGCTCCCTTAATAAATAGAAATCCTGCCTTTAATAAAGCTTAATTGCTTAATAATTTACTAAGCATTAAATAATATTTAAGACTCTTAATGCTAAGGAAAGATAAGAAGGGTTTATATAAGAGTTTATAAGCATACATTAAGCCTAAAAATAATAAAATCCAGGTCTTAAGGCGAAATTTCAACTCCTTTAAACGCTGCCTTAATATTATCCTTCTTAAAAGTCTTATTATAAGCTACCATAAACGCAAAAAAAAACTTAAACTTAATAATATATTTAATAAACGCTTAAATAAAAAGATTAATTTAATTGCTATATGCATGCTTTAAAGGCAAGTATAATGCAATATTTAATAGCTAAAGTAAATAAGAAAAATATAGCAGCATGCTAATAAAAATAATATTATTATCCTTATAATATTAATTAAACTTAGCTAACATATAACTTTTATAACCATTTAATATTAACATTTAATATATACCCTTTATTTATTACTTAATATGCTTATTAAAATGCTAAATTCATTTCAAACCAATCTCATTATTTATTCATTTATTTAAAATAAGTTTAATAACTTAATTATTTAAAAAACCCAACTTTATAGCCCAGCTTGCAAGGTAATAAGCGCCTTAAATAATTATAAACAATAAGATATACCAACCCTTTATATTAATACATTTAATAATTATAGCTTATTTCCAGTTATTAAGCTAAATTAATTTAGCCTTTCCATACTTATTAATGCATATAACTATTATTAACGCAGTAATTATGCCTATTATAAAGCTAGTTTCATTAAAGTTATAAAGATTATCATTTATAATCCCATACTTAGCCATTATATTGCAAAGCAGCCTAAATTAATTCTTAATAATCTTTAAATCTTTGCAAAGGGCCCTTTAATAATTATAAAAATAATTAAACTTGGTCTTAAGAGTAGGTTATAAATCCATAAAGCATTAAGCTTAGTGCTTATTAATAGGTTTAATATCATGCAATGCTAATAAAAAGTTAGCTATATTTTTTATATTAAAAAGTTACAAAGGGAATCCTTAAGCATCTTACTTAATAATATATTAAATGAATATTTGCTCTTTAATTTAATTAAGTTTATGCATATTAATGCATAATCTTTTGCAAAAGCATTATTAATTTATCCTATAGCAAAGTATAATTTTAAGAATATAAAAGATCTTAATAGCTTAAGTTATAAGCAGGGATTTTATATTATTTTTTTTTAATTTTTAAATTACTTAAATAGCTAAAAGGATTTTATCTTTTTTAAACAAAGAATATATTAATAATTATTAATTTTTAATGTATTAAATGTTTAAATAAGTGGATTAAAGCGAAATTAATGCAAAAAACTAAGATGTAATTAGCATTAAAATAAAACCCCTTTATTAAAAGTTAATTACTTTAAACTTTAATGCAACTACTTTTAATTACTTTAAATTAATTAAATTAATTAAAAATAAGAAATTAAAAGTAATTAACATTAATTAATGCTAACTTTTTATTTATTTATTAGCCTTAAGATAATGCTAATATTAATTAAAGTTAAGTAAAGTTACGAAAATTTACTATTTATTAATATCCGCCACTTATTAATAAACTACGTTATTTAAAAATAAATGAAATTTAAAATATATAATATATAATATTATTATAATAAAATATTAATAATTTATATATTTTAAAAATATTAATTAATATATAAAATATAAATTTTAATTTATAATATTAAATTAAAAGAATAATTATTATTTTAATTAATTAATATTAAATTAAAAAAATAATAATTATTTTAATTAATTAATAAATAATAAAAAATATAATTAATTATAATTTAATTTATTATATATAATTTTAAATAATAATTATTTAATTTTTTATAAATTAATATTATATTATTTTTAATATTTTATATATTTTACATTAATATTATTAAAATATTATAATTAAAAATATTTTAAATTATTAATTATTTAATTTAATGTTTTAAAAATATATATTATTTATTAAATTAAATATTTAAAATTAAAAAATAATTTTATTTATATAAAATAAAATAAGTAAAATAAGTAAAATAAGTAAAATAAGTAAAATAAGTAAAATAAGTAAAATAAGTAAAATAAGTAAAATAAGTAAAATAAGTAAAATAAGTAAAATAAGTAAAATAAGTAAAATAAGTAAAATAAGTAAAATAAGTAAAATAAGTAAAATAAGTAAAATAAGTAAAATAAGTAAAATAAGTAAAATAAGTAAAATAAGTAAAATAAGTAAAATTAATAAAATTAATATAATTAATATAATTAATATAATTAAAAAAAATATTAAATAAATATTATATATAATAAATAAAGAATTTTTAAAATAAATATATTTTTAAAATATAATTTAAATTTAATATTATTTAAATAAAATAAAATTTATTTAATTATATTAAAGAATTTAAAACTTTATTTTAAAAAATTTAAAATTTAAATAAATTATTAAAATAATATATTAATTTTTAAAATATATAATTAATAAAATATTAAATTTTATTTATAAATAATTAATAAAATAATTATAAATTAATGAATATAATTTAAAATAAATATTATTAATTTAATTTAAAATATTAATTATATAATAAAATAATTTTTAAAAAATTAATATTTATTAATAAAATATATTTTAAATTTTAAAAAGTATTTATATTATTATATTATTATATTATTATATTTATATTATAATATATATTTAAAATTTTAATATTTAAATACATAATATTATTATTTATATTTTTATAATATAAATAATTATTTAAATATATTAAGAATTATTAATTATTTTAAATAATATTAAATTTAAATTATTATTTAAAATAAATTTTATTTTAAAAAAATTTATTTATTATATTTAATAATTATTTTTATAATTACTTTTAATTTTATTAATTTACTTTATTAATTTATTTTTATATTAATTTAAAATATATTTAATAAATTAAATAATTTTATAATTTAAAAAAATTATAATTATTATATATTTATAAAAATAAAAATAAATTATTTTAAAAAATTATAATTTTATATTATTTATTTTAAATAATTTAAATATTTAAATTATATAATAAAAATACTTAAATATAATTCTTAAAAATATTAATATAAAAAATATAATTTAATATTAATTTATAAAAATAAATTAAATAATTATTATTATTTTAATTTAATAATAAAATTTAAAAAATATAAATATATTTATAATTATATTTAAAAATTATAAATTTTATTTTAAAAAAATTCTTTTTTTAATAAATATTAAAATAAAAATTATAAATAAAAAAATAAATAATAATAAAAAAATATTTTTTTTTAAAAAGAATTTAAAATAATTATAAAATATTATATTTTATATTATTTATATTTAAAAATTATATATATATATTATTAATTATTAAAATAAATATTATATTTATAAAAAGATTTATTTAATATTTTGTATTTTATTAAATATTTAATAAAATAATATTATAATTAAACTTTATTTTATTTATTTATTTATTATTTTTATTTATTTATTTATTTATTTATTATTTATTTATTTATTTATTTATTTTTATTTATTTATTTATTTATTTATTTATTTATTTATTTATTTATTTATTTATTTATTTATTTATTTATTTATTTATTTATTTATTTATTTATTTATTTATTTATTTATTTATTTATTTATTATTTATTTATTTTTATTTATTTATTTATTTAAAAATTATTTTTTAAAAAAAAAACTATAAAAATTGCTTATAATATAATTTAAACTCGGGGCTTATAGGCCTTAGGGTGGATGTGGAAGCTAGGGGTGGGCGTAGTGACCAATTTGAGGTTTGTGAACACTGTCAGCTCGAGACCGCCGTAGGCACCCTCCATCTAGACCATCTATGGACGGGGATCTCTGTCGAGCTTCCCCGCGGCGGGGACTTTGTTCTGTTTACCGCGAGGCGCACTGACGCTGATCGCCGGTCGCCTGCTCCAAAGATCTCAAGGACCCGACCACCCAGATCGGCATTGTCACTCTAGATGTTAAACTCAATTTACACGGCAGCACCGCGTGTTGCAGCCGACCCGGGCGTGTGGCCGAGCGCACGCTCGTAGGGCCGTTTCACGGCGCGCTAGCGGACCGGTATTCTGACAGGGACGAGGCCCAAGTTATACTCGGCGCTAGAGGCGCGATCATCTACGTATAACCAAGACCTTTTTCTTTGTTCACGCAGTATTGCGTCTTATGTGGAGCAGTAGCCGGTTATTTTTTGAGCACGCCGTGTCCACCATGGCCTGGCCTATCCCTCGATGTTCTCACATACGCGACTCGTCCCTTGACCACGGTCGGAATTGACCCTCCCCCGCCCCCAAAGATGCTGTCAGACTCCCGTCCGAGGGGACGAATGGATGATCCAGGCCCTGACGCCGGTTTCCGTTCTCGTCACAGCAGTGGTCGGCGTGCGGATCTCGCTGCGCATCTCACGGCATGCGGGACTCTGGCTGGACGACTGGCTCATCCTCACCTCGTTAATGTTAACATGGGGCATGTACATCATCTCTGTTCTCACGCCTTCCAAGGACAACATGGCTACCGACCCTTCTATGGTCTGGCTGGAGAACACCCTTAAGGTAAGCCCGTGGGCGTGTCCCTGTTATGAAAACAGGCGTGTGAGTGACTGACCACTCCGCAGCTCCTCTGTGCCAGTCAAATGGTCTACCCAACGGCAATCATGACAGCCAAGCTTAGCATGTAAGAATTCAGGACGATAATAGAGTATATTCAAGCTATTCAAAGGAGGGAGATTTGACCCATATATATAGACAAACATTCGGCTAAGTCTTGGTCTCCCAATTAATACTAAAATAGCTAGCAAAATCGAGTCCTCGTGTTAATTATTAGTTTGTAGCTTAAAGGTAACTAAATAACGGCGTATAGGCTGCTTATAAATGGTTTATTTTAGATAGCATCCTCTCGCTCTACTGGCGGCTCTTCCCTACCAGGTTCATGAAGCGAGGCTGTATTATCCTGGCTATCCTCACGATGATGTGGTGGATCGCCGGCGTACTCATGGATATTTTTCAGTGTTCGCCTATCAGCAAGGCCTTTAAACCGGCCATGGACCCATCAGGCTGTATCGATCAGAATGCGTATTGCATGGGCAGTAAGTAGTTTTCGTTCAAAATTTCAAATCTCAGCCACGTGTGGTTTGTTCCTCAATGGCCCTCTCAAGACTGCAAATCCTGAGATAGGCTGTACCCACTCTATGGCCTACTCCTCACATCCTCGTACGAAACTTCTCCCAAAGTACTTTAATAACTGACTTTGGATGCCGCAGTGATCATCCCCAATGTCTTGATGGACATGGTCATCTTGTGTCTGCCGACGTTCGAGGTCTCCAAGCTGGTAAGCAAATTCCAGACAATGGTCTTCACCCTCGGATGGAGTCTCATCTGCAATTCGAACCCCCTGTACTATTTTCAAGAGCATCGAAAGCACTTGGTTTGCCGCTGCTTGTGAGACTGTTGGCTTCGGGCAAGTTGCGCGCTTTCCGCTTTCTTGATAACCAATTCTCAAACCCTGCAGCACCTCCCCCGTAGCCAAAGATTCGCCCTGGCGGGCGTGTTCCTACTAGGCGCCGCCGTCACCTCCGCAAGTGGCATCAGAATGCACTACCACCTCAAGCTGGTAGAAAGCGGCGAAGGGAACTATGACTTCACCCGTGAGCTCTTCCTCCCTCAGGACGTCCCACCCCGGCATAGACGTGTGGTGCCGCACCACAGACTGTTTCAAGACTGACCGAGTGACTGACTTTTGATGCCACCGCCGAAACAGTGGGCCTCCTCAAACCTCAGCTGTGGCTAACACTCGAGCCCGACATGGCCGTCATCTGCGCCTGCCTGCCCGTAATGCGGCCGCTGATCACCATGATCCTGGCCTCGCCCCTCTACCGCTCCATCGCGTCGCACCTTACAGTCGGCAGGAGCAGCATACGCAGCAAGGGCGCGAGCGCGGGGACCAGCAGCAGCAGCAGTAGCAGCCAGGGCGCCGGGTATAACAAGCACGCCGCGCTCAACACGATAGGCGGGTCGTCGGTGCCCGGCAGCAAGGGCGCGGCGGGCCACCATCACGTCAGGGAGAAGAGCCAGGGCAGCGGCACGACCAAGTACACCATGTCGTCGTTTGAGTCGCTCGAGTACCTCCGGGACGAGGACGTCGAGGCCGGGCGCCTGGTCCCGGATGGCCGCGGGTGGTCCTGGCATGGCGACCTTGGCATTGGGCACCAGGCCCAGGTGAGCAGAAGCCAGAGCGTGGTGATTGACGAGGTCCCGATAGGTGCGATATTCGTGAAGACGGTCGTCGATTGCAGGGACACGACAGGTGATCCGTCACCTGTCGGGCAGATGAGCCAAACGCGGAGTTCATGATGCTTGTCCTTGTCGTGTATTTTCTTTCATTTGGTGTACAAAGACATAAGTGTTGAGTTAGGTAGACTGATATACTGGGTAATAATGGAGATGAAATATCCCTCGCTTCAAATGGTACAGTCCCAAAGAGCGCCTTAGATGTCTTACTTTCGACGCCGCCCAGACACCTGAGGTACATTGCAAACGCCAAACACCAATGCTTACACAGAGTTCCGGCTGTATGTGCCACATAGTGCCTCGCTGTATCCAAAAACAAGTAAAACAAGACATAAACTCCCCTTGTTATCTTTTCACCATATATTTTGCGCCTCTGGCTCGGACTCCTCTCCGTCCGGGTCCTCATGTATGGTGAAATTTACGCCCGCGGGTACGTCATCATCCTCAAGTGCTCGTGTCATTTCTCTCCCATCGCCCCCAGCAGGTACTCGCCATGCCCTTTGGGTGCTGGGGTACTCCGAAGGCTGTGAAGAGACATCGCTTCTATCGTCATCGTGGTCTCCGTCGCTGGCAACGTCGCGCGGGTCCAGGTTCTCCCCATCTGACATGTTGTCCTCAATGCCTGGCCAAGGGATGTCTTCTGCTCCTTGAGGCTGCGAAGATTGGTTCTGTGCCCGATGATGTTGCGAATGCCCGGCAGAGTGGTGGTGCCCATCTGAGCCACTTTCTAGATCATCAAGCATGTCTGCTTCGTCTTCATAAACGTCCACGTCAGGGTCGTCTTCGTCTGGCACGTCGCCATCACTCTCCTCGCCGTATGGATCCGTCGAGCTGCCTCGGTCGTCGTCGAAATCCATCATCCCATCGTCTCCATGCACATGGTAACTCCGGTTAGGGTGGAGCCCTTGAGGTGGGAATTCTGGGGGTGCATTGCTGTAGGGAGTCATGTAGGCCATGGGCGTTGGGCGGCGATCTCCTCGGATTGGCTGCTCGGGGAGTGCATGTTGGAAGGGCATGGGATTCACGCTTGGACTGCGGCTGTAGGACCGATTACTCCAACGCGGTGTGTTATGCAGCCGGAGTGAAGGCGAACGAGTGTTTCGGTGTCTGTGTTTGGTGACCATGGCCACTGCTGGAGCGTTGGAGACCAGGGACACGCGAGGGCTAGGGCGGCCGGTAACAAGAGGCGACGGGTGCCGTTGGTAACTAGGTCCAGCGACGGTGGGCATGATGGCGAAGGAGGACATTCGACGGCTGCTGCGTGCGGGAGAGTGTATGGTTGGGGCGCTCACTGGCGGCATAGAACCAGTTCGCACAAATGGTGGCCTGGAGCGTTGACGCTCTCTCTGAGTGAATGGAGATTGCCCTCTGGCCATCATCGGACTCATCATCGATGTGCTTAGATGCGAAGGCACTGTGAAAAATTGCTCCGTCGACCCGTCTGTTGTCCGCGACATGTTGATCGCCTTCTCGTGTGACTGCTGAAGGCTCATGACAGACTGTCGAGCACTGGGAGGGTCGTCAAGGCGCGCGTTGAATGCCCAGTACTCCTCCAGTGCATCGGCCTCGGGGACCTCGAAACTGCCATTGGTTGTCTGCGAGTCTGAATAGACGCGATCGAGTTCCCGAAGCTTCTGCCAAGTCCAGCCAGGATTGGCACCAAGGAAGTTCAAGGAATGATTGTCCTGGAGATACGCTTCGGGTTGCGTAATGTAAAGCCGATGCAAACCCGTAGCTTTCATGACTACGCTGTCCATCAAGAACATCGCGGTCCATAGCGTAGGGGTCAGCAGCTCCGGAGGCGACAGGAATCGAAGCCGAGAATCCTTGTGTACTTTGCGCAGAGGCACCCAGGATTGCTGCAGCCCAAAGAACCTATGCACTCTGGTGTCTGAGCCGCATGGAGACTTAGGGCTGGCAGGATGGGGACTCATCCGCAGAATGTCCTGGAAGGCGTTTCCGATGGCAATCTGCACGCTGCGAGAGTCGGCACCCCGGACTTGGACTTGCTTGATCAGACCGCGGCTCTTGAGGCGCTGATCAATTAGCCTGCCCGGAGCACAAGCTCTAGGCAACAGCCATCCCGTGCCCTGCCCAACCCATTCATCATACGACGCCAGTCCTTGGGGCTCTGGGGTGGCTCTGCTGTTTGTGTTTGGCCCTGGCGTCCACTCATCTCGTCCGCCAGACGAGCGAGAGTTCTTGAAATCATGTGCTTCTAACCAAATTCCCTTGAGAGGGAATGGCAGAAACACCACTTCTAGTTCCCAAGGAGAGGTGTAGGACGGCAGTGCAGATGCTTCGAGTTGATTGACCCGAGCTTGTAATACCTCGAGCTGGCTGGCCAGAGCAGCACGCTCAGCAGCCCGCACTGTGGCATTGGATGACAAGGACACATCGCTGACAGTGGCGTCGTCATCACGTTGGGTGATGCGACGTGTGCTGGCAAGGCTGGCGGTATCATCATTCAGCCTCTTCTCGGCATCATCCATGCGTGTCTCGAGCTCTGTCACTCGAAGATCAGTCACGTCATGTTTGTCCGAGCATTCCTCATGAGCCGTCAAGTAAATCGATCCAGTCTCCAGTTTGTCAAGTCGCTGGTTGTGGTCCTCGACAGTGTCACTCAGGTTTCGCAGAGCATCGTTCCTGTGGCCAGGAGATGAGATTGAGATACCAGGGCTTGTGCTCTGCACCTGGGAGGGTCCTGGTTTCGGAGTAGCTGCCCCAGACGGAACGGTGATGGCGTCGTCACAGATTTGGCCATCCAGGTTGGTTTCAGGCGTGACACCGGTGCCTTTGCCGGCCTGCGCGACTTCCTTGGTTGGGGTCACACTACTTAGTGTGTTAAGGCCCACCCCGTGGAATGGCCGTAAATATCTCATTTGGCTGGACGCCGTGGTAGAAGCCGACTGCGAGTCTGGGATCAGACACTGCGATGGAATGGGCGGGAGCGGTGTTGGGCATCCTTGGGTGGAAGGCACATTCCTCCAGCTCAATGTATCCGGCATGGAATCACTATCATGTGCCGGAACAGGTGGTTTTACCGGCGGTGGAGGTGCGCAAAATCCCATGTTGGACGCGAAGGAATCAAAATTGAGTGCAGCGAAGTCCATGGCGGCTCCTGCAAGGCTGGACGGCATCTGGAAAGAAGCAAAATCCTGGACAGGACTCAGCGGGGCCCTGTTTGACCTTGGCTTCTCATTCTCCTGTCCTGGCATGTTGTCCATTACCGGCGCAGCGGGCGCTGCTGTGACCTGGGTGTGGTTTCCATCGTCGTGAAAGCAGGCGTGGTGCGAGCACATGCACCAGCCGGCCTGGTCCGCAGCGTTGAGTCCTGCGCCGGCGACCTGGCGTCCCCAGAAACGGCGACAGCCGCATTTTGGGCCGTTGGGCCCATGGCTCAGGTCGACAAAGTTGCATGGACCTCCAGGCAGACCAGGACTTGCAGGAGGGGGTGTATTCCTCGGAGCGCCGCCGTCATTGAAAATGTTAAAATGGGAGAAGCTGCCATCCAGGGGTGGAGGGAACGGAGTAGCGGCCATTGAGCACGGAAGAGCTCATGTCTTTAACCAGCGATCTGGCGGATCAAGTAACATTGGAAGCGCCGACGACGTGCGAACAGCTATGCGCGGGCGTCGGGATCGAGACCGGTGCGACGAAGTCGGGCCTCGAGGACTCGAGGCGAGCGGGAGCGAGTTGGGTAGTTCGAGGTAGATATGGGCGATTGAAGCGACACGAAGCTAGGCGGCAGCGAGCGAATAGGCGGAGCTAAGAGGGCATCTCGCTATATCTATGCTGCAGCAAATGTCAGTCTCGCAGTCGCAAACCCAACGCCTGGTGGTCCGGCCCATGCGGCGGCCAAAGAGATCCCTAGGCAGATACTGACACATTGGAAGGGTGAAGCCTGGGAGATGCTGCGGCGGAATGTGGCGACGCTGGATATTTATACGCGGCAATGCGCTGACGAATTTTGGAAACGAGGCAGAGGATGGCGCATGCGATGGCAGGTTGGGATTGTTCGCTCAAGAGGAGAAGGCGAGGCGTGAGATGGGTGGGATGGGGGATGGGGATGTGGAACGGGGGTGGACAGGTGGAGGGGGGTGGGGGGTAGCACAACCTTGGAAGTGCAGGTGCGAGTCTGCAACGAACCCAGCTGCTGCTCCCTCCCTCCAAGGTGTGGATGGTGGTGGTGGATAGCTGTCCCGGTCACAACATCAGCGAAACGCACTCACTCACTCACTCACTCCCTCCCTCATCCATGCATGACATACGCAGACCGTCCAAAGCCCCCTCGCATAATTAGGGCCATACTTAGGGCCATAATTAGGGCGTCAACAAGCGACAGCAAACACACGAACAACAGAGAGAGAGACTCGACCCCGACAAGACATACTGCAGCCCAACGGCGACTCCCTGCATTGCCCTGACCGAAGGACCCCACCGCCAACGCACCCACTGCCGCTCACTCTACAGCAGACACGCGTCGGGGCCTGATCCTATTGGCCCGACACGCCTGCCGTGTCAGGTTCGTGTAAATGTGCAGCCCGCCAGGTACACTTAAGTGCCAACCCTCCTGGCCCCTCACTCTCTTCTCATATCAGCATCTGTGTCGCCCCGCAAAACTGTACCTGCGATCCTGCATCCCCTTTCACGCTCAGAGACTATCAACACGTCCGCCTCATCACATTACCGCCTGCTTGTGTGTGACTCCGACTAATAATAGCCGGGCCAGAGATGCACTTTGGCATTCGCAATTTCAATCACTTCTTCACACCTAGCCATGAACAGGCACCCAACCCAATTATTTGAACCAGCCTTGGGTTGTAGTTTACAGCCCACGCAGGCCTGCTGAGATTCAGTGCATACAGGGCCCACATCCGATGACAGCCTCACACTTACTTCCTTGGGGTCCAAGCCCAAATATCACGCCTCGCCACCACTCGCCAAAGTAGGGCGGTGGCCAGCAAGAATTTATCCCCAACAGCTAAACCAGGCGGCTATTTTCATTACTCTAGAACATCACACAGGCTCACACCCGTGGTTGCAAGCATGAGCCAGGGTTAGGGGAAGGTGCAACAGCAGTGCTCAGGGAATGAATTAGGTACTTTACCGCTGCGCATGTATCCACACCGAGTTCTGCCCACCATCCTGGACATTTCACCTGTGCAGACAGGCAGATAGGTGACGATTCTGTCCTTGTTATGTCATGAAGAGGCCCGTGTGTCTATTGACGAGTACATATGCAGCCTGTTGTGAGTCACCCTTCAGCACGTAATCCGGCGCCATCCAACAGGGCCAACTCTGGTCAAACTCAGTATTTCTTGAATCAGACAAGCGTCTGAGATACTTCGACCCGAGTGGCCTACCTTGTCTGACGCAAGGGCAAGGTACCTTGGCTGCACCTCGAAATGTGTAGATATCTACTTCAGAGGCTTGGAGTGGTCTGCAGAATACCACCTTTGGTTCAGCTCCCTAGGGTCCACGGCTATAAGTTCATAACACAATAGACACACCGGGATTCACGGCGTCCAGATTTGTCAGGGCTGCGTACGAGACTGACGCACGATTAGGACTTGATCGACAGCGTGAGGGTGCAGTGATAGTTATCCACTGGTGTCGGTCACAACAACCAAATGCCTCAAAAATCAAGCGCCACGAGCAAGGCGGGGCGTGAAAGCCTAGGACCGTGTCCAGAAACTCTGCTGCTATAGACAAATTCCTATGTGCACTGTCACAATCACCCGCTACTGACTTCCGTGCGTCTTGATTTCAGACTGTTCCAAAGTCTGCGCAAATCGAGAGCCAGGCTTCCTGACCGCGATTGCCTCCTCGCAGGCAGAGCAGTAGTGCGTGGAGGTGTGCACCCCTGTAAAGAGGCCCGAGATGTACAAGAAGCTAAATAGGAATGCGAAAGAAGTCCACGCCCTGCATCGTCTTGTCAGCCCGGCCGTTTGAATGCGCACCTGTGCAGCATGGGTCTTGTGCTCAACGCAACCCGCCACTACGTGACGGCTTGTGAAAAAAGGACAGGTCATCTTACACGTCTTCCTTCCTCGCATGCTTCTCAGACCTGGTTTTGACTCTGCTGTGGCAGAAAGGACAGTCTACCCAGGCTTCATTCTTTCCAAGGTGCTGGAGCTCGAGTGGGTTGTCCTGGTCGTTGCCTGCGACGCTGTGCTTGCCGCCGGTAGACGACAATGTCGTCGTCTCCCTTGATAGTAATGAGATTCAAGGACCTCGATTTTAACTGAGTATCGGGTGATCGAGCTTACACTGTGATGCTTGGATCTGCCTTCTGATATTCTGCCATCGTCTTTTGGACGGTTTTCTCAGTCTGCTTGGCACTCGCCTGCGTCATACAAGGGTTCACAATGACTGCTTTGTGTATCGTACAAAACTGGGGGCACGCCAAAGTCCAGGTTTTGACCTCAGTCATGGAGAGTGCCCCTAGCTATTATATCTAATGCAGAAAGTTGGACAAGCGTCCACTGATCTCGCCTCCGTGGCAATGCTCAGGCCGCAGCTTGCGAGAACTAAGTCTCGAGGTGGTGTTGATGGGGATCCTTTGACAATCTGTCCCAGGTCACAATGGTCAGGCGGTCCAATACAATACCCCAAGGCAGACTAGTGTCTTGGCCGGCACGAATGTGTCCATTTGCAGCAAGTTGTGGCTGTGTTGGAGGCAAAATGGTAGAGTGCTGTTGTGCCACGACCACTCAATCTTGCCTGCGCCTTCGCTGACTTGGCTCAAATGGGAATGTTGCAGAAAGCCCACCAATGGTTTCCCGGTGCTGAGCACTCAGTCGAGAGCAAGTAACCCACCTATTTGAGCAGCTGCACTTGGATGATGGAAATTGTGTGAGCAACGTGTTGGAAGTGCAATCAAAGTCTCTCAGCAGGGGCATCAAAGCCGGTTCCTATTAGTGCTTACATAGAAGATCATCTTGTACCTATATCAACGCTACGCCCCCAGGCACTGCCCATAATGGTCTACCCTGGCAGTTTTGCAAGATGAGCGAAAACGTCTGCAAGGGTCCAGCAAAACTGAGAGTTGACGTTGGCAAATTGATGAAACAACGTCATGTGACTCCGCAAGTATTTACGGACACTTGGATTTCCACGAGGCCACTTGCAAGAACATGTCTAGTCTCCTCGAATCCAAGCACCTGGACAAGTCCAGCGTCCTACAGTAAGTCGTTATCCACTGTGCCTTTGGAGCAGCTTCTCCTATTTGTTAGCGAACTGAAAGAAAGTCTCTCTGAGGCTCGCATGCAGATGGCAGAGTAAGTGTATGCCCGAATCAATTCGCAGATTGAAATTGAGGCTCCTTACTACTACGAAGTAGTTCCGAGGTTGAGAAAGGGCGGACATGCATGGGTTCAGGGTTTAGTTGTCCTGGTCTGTCCCGGTGGCAAGCGTTACGAGTTCGGATCCACCGAAACCCTAGGTGACGAGCGCATAAGGCTCCAGCAATCTTTGTGGCTGTTGGTCGTGGTTGTACAATTTGGAGACCTTGTGAATACCTTAATTCCTTGGTACGACGGATAGTGCACGGTACATATCAGTCACTTGGGGGCTTGGGCGATCGCCCAGCTGGGCGGAGCGGGGGCGACCACTTCACACTTACAACATCAGCTCACCCTGCTCGCCTCTAGGAGACCAAGGTCAACAGCATACCACCAACGGCAGGGAGCTATTTGAGATCAAGCATCTGAATCATCTTCACGTCAAGGCCCCTCGAGCCCATGTGATCACAATGACCTGGGCCACCTCCGCCCCCGCCGCGGGCGTCTCCAGGGCCCAGCTGAACGAAGTTATCCGGGCGATCCATAAAACCCCTATTATTGACAATCACGCTCACCCGCTGCTCAAGCCAGAGGCCCTTGCTAAGTATCCTCTGATCTCCATCACGACCGAGGCATCAGGAGACGCCATCCATGCAGCATTCACGAGCTTGTCACACCTCCGCGGGGTAAAGCAGCTGGCTCACGTGCTTGACTGCGCGCAGACGTGGGAGGCCGTCGTAGCTGCCATCGAGCAGAGGCGGCTGGAGGACTACGATGACTGGATAAGTGAGTGTCTGGACGGAATCGAGACGATCCTTGTGGATGACGGTCTGGATGCACCTGATGATGCGTATGACTACGAATGGCACAACTCATTCACGCGGAGCGGATGCAAGCGCATCGTGAGGATCGAGACCGTGGCAGGGCGCATCATCCAGAAGCATGCCTCTGAGTTCAAGGAGGGTGATAACTCCGAGGATGTGTTTGACCGAGCGATTGAGGAGTTCGATGCCGAGATCCGAAGAGCCCTCGAGGACCCAGAGGTGGCAGGCTTCAAGAGCGTGATATGCTACCGCACGGGGTTGGACATACCGGCCGTGGTCGACCTGACGGTTGCGAAGGCCTCCTTCGACGAGATCGTGACAGGCTATGCTGGGCCGGCTGAGCTGGCGAGGATTCAGCACCCAGGTCTCAATGACCTCCTGGTCCACCGAGCAGCTGCGCTGATCAGCGAGATGCCCGGCCGGGAGAGGAAGCCGCTGCAATTCCATACTGGACTGGGAGATAACGATCTCACGCTCGCCAAGTCGTCCCCGGCGCACCTGCAAGAGTTCATCCGGACATATCCCAAGGTTCCGATCGTGCTGCTACATGCCAGCTATCCCTTCGTACGCGAACTTGGTTATCTTGCGACGGTATATGCGAATGTGTACGCTGTGCGTTCTACCACTCTCTTTTTTGTAAAATCATATTGGGAATTACGTTTATCAGTGATCCTCAAGCCCAAGCAATTCTAAGATTGTCTGACTCGGATTCTTCTGACTGCAATCGATGGGCAGGACATTGGCGAAATCTTCCCCTTCGTCAGCCAAGACGGCCAGGCGAAAGCGGTGCGCCAGATCTTAGAGCTCTGCCCATGGTCCAAGATAATCTGGTCGACCGATGGTCACTGGTTTCCCGAGACTTACGCACTCGCCATACTGCAGATTAGGGAAGTGTTGGAATCAGTTCGTCTGGCCCCATGCTCTCCACCGAGCAAAGAAAAACACTGACCGCGCGCCAGGTTTTGTGCGACTATGTCCGCAAAGGGGCCATGGGCTGGAAAGCCGCGATCGAACTCGTCCGAGACATCCTATACAAGAACTCCAACAAGCTGTACCACCTCGGTCTTTCGTTCTCAGAGTGGGAGGCGGACTATGAAGGCGATGCCGCAATGCAAGAGGAAGCGACAGACCTTGAGATCTTCACACACGTCCTTCGAGGCAAGCCGACCCCAGACTTTATCCGCATCGGTTGGACAGACTTGACGGCCATGCCCCGAATGCGCATGATCCCATTCAGAAAGCTCATCACATCACTGGAAGAGGGTAAGCCCGTAGACATTGGCATCACGAAAGCCTGCCTTGGCCTGTTGCAGCATGACTGGATGGCGCCCGGAACCAGTGCCAGTGGAGAGTATAGGCTGCACCCAGACTTCTCGTCACTGAAGAGTGGACCCATACCGGGACACTTTAGCATGTATGGCGACTTTCGCGAGAAAGATGGGTCTACAGTAAGTGGCTTGAGGAAATTGCCAACACTGACATTCTGTTGTTTGCAAGAAGGCGGGAGGTCTTACTAACGATCACAGATCTCAGTCTGCCCCAGAACGCAGTTGACAAGGGCGCAAGAACATGGGGCTCGGCAAGGCCTCGCCTTCCTGGTGGGGTTTGAAATCGAGTTCCTACTCCTTGGGCGCAGCGAATCAGGCAAGTTTGAGCCGCTGGCCAACGACGGGCATTCCTGGTCCGTGAGTCGCTTTTTCTCGGACCAGAAGATCCCCAAGCTCCTCGCGGACATAACCAGGGCATTGGAGTCGATGGAAATATTTGTCGAGCAAGTCCACGCCGAGAGCGCGCCGGGCCAGTTCGAGATCGTTCTCCCACCACTGCCTCCAGTACAGGCCGTAGACACCCTACTTCACGCCAGAGAGGTGATTGCTGCCATGGCCACGGCAGCAGGCTTCAAGTTCACGCTATACCCGAAACTGTTCCCCGATACTTGTGGGACGGCAGCGCATACTCACATCTCCGTTTCCTCGGCTGAGGGCGACAAGAAGGAGACGTATGAGCCCTTCTATGCGGGCGTCCTGAAACATCTGCGCGCGATCGCGGCGTTTACGTATAGCAACCCAGCGAGCTATGAAAGATTGGCTGATGGGGCATGGGCTGGGGGCAGGTGAGTTGGACCTTACGCTACATATTGTGGCAAAACCACCTACAGAATTAACTCCAATGATGCTGACTCCTGGGAACAGATGGGTGACGTGGGGCACACAAAACCGCGAGGCGCCACTTCGTAAGATCGAAGGCAGCCACTGGGAATTCAAATGCCTTGATGGTCTTGCCAATCCGTACTTGGCGCTGGCCTCTGTCCTCTTCGCCGGGACGAGTGGTGTAATGGCCAAGGAGAAGCTGGTCTGGCAGGACTGCGAGGTCGACCCGGCGAGCCTGACAGAGAACGACCGTAAGGAATTGAACGTCTCGGAGATGTTGCCGTCAAGCGTTGAGGAGGCTTTGCAGGCTCTGGAAGATGACGAAGAATTGACGGACTTGCTAGGCTCGGAGCTGGTGGAGAAGTACACTTCTGTCAAGCAGTTCGAGCTGAACTTCCTAGGGTCAATGAAGGATGAGGAGAGGAGGCAGTTTCTCATTGCGCGGTACTAGAAACAAAAAGTGGAACCGCCGTCTGGAGTTTAAAAAGGCAAATGAAATAATCTTATTTCCTCGGGCGTCGGGATATTGCAGAGGCTTGCTTAGCCTTCTACGAAAAGTCATCTAGCTTTCCAGCTCAGCGAAGGCTGGCACACTATAGCCTCCCATTTACTGGAATATTCGAACTATCTTTTTCATCGGGAGCAAAAGCGCAAAGGCAGAACTTGGTGGCAAAATGGCGCAAAGACGGCCAGACAGGAGAGGAGCGCCCTCCACCCTCACTCAGTCCACCTGGCTGTGAGCTATGAACTTTCCTTGGCAATAGCCTCCATCGCCTTTACATACTCGTGTACCTCCTTCGCGCCCACCAGCGTGAGATCTCTCCTCTTCCCTTCAAACACAATGTGCGGCACTGAATCAATGGCGTTGGTCACGGACTCCCTCAACGCTGCCTTCACCTCCGCCGCACCCTCGCTCTCATCCTCCACCACCGCCTTCGCTTTCTCGCCGTCAATGCCAGCCTCCACACACGCCGCGACCAACGTCTCGCGGGAGCTGGGGCTCCTCTCTTCCTCAAAGTACATCCTGTACAGCGCATCAACGAGCCTGTTGGCCGTCTCCGCGCCCGCTTCCTCCTGGAAGTACTGGATGACCCGGTGGGCCTGCAGGGTGTCGGCGATGTCGCCGCCGAAGCTGAACTTGATGCCGCTGGCCTCGCCTAGCGTGCTCATGTACTCGACGTACATTTCCATCTTCTCCTTTGACCCATCGTACTTGCGGTCTCGCTGCCAGGCGTACTTGTCCTGCGCGGGGCCGAAGGAAGGGTATAGCTGGTACGGCAGGAACTGGACCTTGAACGAGGCCTTGGAGGAGACCTCGGGTGGGAGCTGGGCGAGCGCGAGGTCGAGGCGCTTCTTGGCGAGGTATGTCCAGGGGCAGATGGTGTCAAGGGTGAAGGATATTTGTGAATTATACATGGTTGACCGTAGAGTAAGGGAATGCAGGGCAAGTTTTTGTGACGTTGTTTAATTGACTGATCAAAGCTTTATCCATCGTCAGGCTTCCGTGGTGCCGGAGCAGAGAACCGAAGTCCATGACCGGCGTCATAACTACTCGGTAGTCTGGGAGGACTCCCTGCGGGGAAGATTTTAAGGGCGGGTGGAGATCGTTGCCCGCCTTACTTGACGGCAGATATTCAGGCATGATTGGATACCAACCTGCTAGACTAGTATTAAAATGTGCCTCAAAACTAAACATGACAACGCTCAGAGGCTCGCTCTAAAAGTACACAAGATATAAGACTGTACGTAGGTGTGCAGAGCAGCACAGCATGGACAAGCGCATCACCCAAGATCCCTACTCGCAGGGTACATGGACGTTTCTGTATTTTGCTCAGCTACCGAAGACTCATAAAAACCTATTGCATTGCAGCGCGATCTGATGAGGAGTAGAAAAGAAGTGCTGGTCGTCGAAAATGCGCAAAGAAAAGTGAGAACAATTTGCACCTAGGCAGCATGACATAAATAACTAGGAGTCAGGATAATGACGATTTAAGTTAAGTTTTAAACCTAATCTCCCTCGTTTCCACTCTACCGCTTTGCCACTCGGTGATTCTCTCCATTACTCTCAGGAGAGTAAAACTCCAAAAGAGCCACTCAAATCCATACACGCTCGACTGAATGTCGCCGGGCAGCAAGGAGACCGTTTCCCTATTGGCTCTGTCTGCTAGCTGGTCACGCAGGGCTAAATGTATGCGCTCGACCTCTTTCTCCGTAAGGCCGTTCTGATCTGGCCCTGCGACGTCGCGAGAACGCGTCCAGCCCCATCCCGCGATCCAGTTTGTCGTCAGCTGTATATCCACGTCGGCGTCCTCGGCGTTCCAGTTGGGAGACACGAACAGCTCAGCAATCCGCTTTGAATTTAGGATGTCTTCTGCCTCGAGCGGTGCAGATCGCATCCTAGGAGGAACCCTCCATAAGTCTGCGGTGGCTGATGTAGGCACAGTAAAGAGTCCTTTTTCCACCATAGCATTTAAAGTTAGCTATCAAGACAGTGAAGAACTTTATGTAACTTTGGGGAGGCATAGTCCTTCATATCCCTATGACCTATCTTGAGAAATGCAGTTTAATAATAGGTCCTAAGGCGGAGACTGTTGGTAAGTACGACCCTCGCACTTAAAAGGCTACTTTAGTTATCCCCTTCGGGGCATATAGCCTCTTAGAACTTAGATAAAATAATATTAATATATAATTGCTTTCTATATAATTATTATATATATAAGAGACCTATTAATATTAATTAATAGTTATAGGTATTATAAATTAATAAGGTAAAAGAGGTAACCTTATAAGGATTTCCTTAACTTAAAAATTATATCCTTTTTATTAATAAGCGCTATATAATAATAATTGCTTCTTTAGGCTTCCCTATATTATTAAACTTTTTAAGTAAATATTGCAAAGATTAAATAAATTAAGTGGCATTTCCTATAATATTTATATATATATTTATTATTATTTAAGAGATATGCGTTTATTATGCATAATAAAACTTTATTAAAAAAAAAAACGAACTTATTATAAACCTATCTTTAACTCCTCTTTAGGACTTAGCAAAACTTAATAAAGCTTTGTTTTATTAATAAATAAAGCTTATAATTATTGTAATTGCTAAAGCTAATGCAACGCTATATTATAAGTAAGCGTAAGTTATGCATTATGCTTTTAGCTAATATAAAAGGACTTAATAATAAAAGAAAGCCTTAGTTTTTAAGGTTTAAAGGAATTAATAACTTCTTCCTCTTAATAACCATAACTTGCTCCCCATTAAACTATTATTATTAATTTACTCTTAAATATTACTTATTTTATTAATATTTCTTTATTTTATTAATTTCATTCCTTATAATATTTGCTATAAAAACTTATAAAAATGGCTAATAACGTTAAGAAGCTATTAACTCTTATTAAAGGATATATAATTAATAAAATACTTGCTTAAACTTTAATTAATTTAGCTTATTATAAATATATTAACTTAAAACTATAATTTATAACCTTTATATAAAAAGCATTAATAAAATATTTAATTACCTACTTAGCAAGTACTTTAGCAAGCTATATATAATAAAACCTTTATAATAACAACCTTTTTATTACTTATTATAAGGATTATATAATATAAATATAAGTAATATTTAAAGCATTATTAAATCCTTATTAATAATGCTTAAAAGTTTTTCTTTAAATGCAAGGCATTTATATAGGATATAATAATTAACTTATAATATTATAATTAATTATTATAATTTAAATTAAAAAAAGATTAAAATAAATTAATAATAAGCTTTATAATACCTTATTAGCCTTAAAATTAAGTATAAATAAATATTGCATATAACTTTAAAAATAATAATTATAAATATAATCCTTATAAGAATTATAAGTAAGCTTTAAATAATAATAATTATTAAAAGAATAATCCTTAAGATAACTTTTATCGCTGCCGCTAACTTTAAATGCATAATTATAAAATTTAAACTTAATAATGTAATTTATTAAAAATTAATATAGCTAATAAGGCTTATTATTATTAGCAAAAAGATAGAAATAAAGCTTATATTAAAGATATATATTATATTTAGCATAACCTTAAGCTGCCCTAAGAATATCTTTGCTAAATAAAAAATATAACCTATATAAAACTCTTTCCTTATAATATATTTTTAATAAATGCTTAAATTTAATAAAGTTAATATAATTTATAAAAATCTTTAATAATTTTTATAAGTATGTTAAGGATTTATATAATTTATTAAATAATAAAATAAAGATATTTTTTAATATTTACTATTATATTAAAATTTAGCTAAGTTAATTTTATATAGTTTTTCCTTAAATGCTTAAAGATTAAGCTAAGGCTTATTACCTTTATTTTATAAATTAAATTAATATATTTATAAAGATAAGAGTATAAAATTTAAATAAAGACCTATATAAAGTTTTATATTTAATGCTTAATAAATTATAACTTTATTAATAAGCATTAAGTAAAAATTATATTAAAAAAGATAATTTAAGAATAATAATAATTAAAGCTTATAAAGGAGTTTTTAAGCTAAAAATAGCTTTTTTTAAGTTAACTTAATTATATAAAAAGTTATTTTTAAACTTAAGATTTATAATAAAAATATAACTTAGCTATATAATTATAATTTATATTATAAATAAAGTTTTAAATTAATATTATATTAATTATAAGTATAATAGCTAAAAGTTAAAAAAAGGATAATAATTATAATTTTAAGCATTTTAAGGAAATTAAAGATTTAATTAATTAAATTTAAGCTATTTAAGCTTTAAGTAGCTAAGATTTTATAATATTAATTATAAAGCTTAAAGTAATAATGCTTATAAAGAAGAAAAAGGAGGATAATTTTAAAAGAAAAGATATTATATTTATAAGAAGGAAAAATGTTAATTAATTAAATATTTAATTAATAAGCAATATTTAATAAAAAGAAGCTACTTAATATAATATAAATATAAAGATTATAATAATAACTTTAATATTTTTTAAGTAAGTTTAAGAAATATAAGATAAATAATAAAGATAAATTTTATAAATATAAAGATAAATAAGATTAAGATAATAATTATAATAGCAATATTTATATTATAAAGGTAGGACTTAATAAGGAGGTTTATTATATAAATATTAATTTCTTAGCTAATAAAGCGTTTATATATTAAATTATGGGAAATAATATTTTTTAAATGGAAATAATTATTATAATTAGCTAATTTATTTTATAAAATAAATATAATTAAACTTATTTTTAAGGAATTTTGCTAAATATAAAAACATTATTAATATTTATAATTAAATATAAGTAATTCCTTATATTATAATAAGAAAACTTAAAGTATTAAATTAATATAATTGCTATAAGAAAGATTAAAGTTAAATTTAGTAATAGGATAATTATTAATTTATTTAATATAATTAAAGTTTTTATCTTAGTTAATTATATTAATTTTTATATTATTTAAGCATAAACCTTATTCCTGCTTTACTTAGTAAATATAAATAGGCTTTAAATATATTATAATAATATTATAAATAAAATGGTTTCCTTTAATAATATAATTATTATATTAATACTTAAAAAATAAGGTTATTTATGGTTTTTTTTAAATTAAATTATTAATGCTATATATTTCCTTTTAAAGATAAAAATAAGGAGACTTTATTATTGCTTTAAATATTTATTAATAAATTAATTATATTAAATGCTTAAAAAGGCTAGTAATTTAAATATTAATAAATAAATAATAATAGAAATTAAAAAGATATATTATTATTATTAAATAAATAAACTTATATTTAAGCGTTTTAAGTTTATATTATATAATAATTATAAATTTAATTATAAAATCTTAGTTAATATAATATACTTAAGTAAATACTTGGTTCTTTATATTATAAACTAGGCTATTGCTTTCCAAGGAGCAAAATTCTTAAAATTTATATTTATAAAGATTGCATGATAAATACTATAAATGCTTTAAATTAATATATATTAAGGACTATTAAATGTTATTAAATATAATATAAAAATAAACTTTATATTCTTAAAATTTTATTTAAAGGTATAAATAATAGGAATTAAATATAAATAGGTTTTCATAAAGGTATATTAGTTTATTAAGAAAGTTAAGAAATATTATTAAGCCCTTAAATAAATATATAAAATTTTATATATTAAATTATATAATAATATAAATAATAATGCTATCTTATAAATAATTATAAAAGTTATTAATAATATTATTAAATTAAATAAATTAATTTTTATATTCTTAGTTTTTAGCGCTTATTTATAAGTATTATATAAGTTATTATTATTATTATTAAAATATAAAAGTAAGCAAAGGCTATTTTAAAGATTATAAAAATGCTATAAAAAACTATAATTAAATAATAAGTATAAAATGCATTAAATATTAAAGTTAAATTTATCTTTAGCATAAAATACCTATTATAATGCAGAATTTATATATAAAGAGAAAGAAAAGAATAAAAGGGTTTATATAAGGTTATTATTATAAATAACTATAATATAACCTTAAATATATTAAATAAAGCCGCGATATTTAAGTTAATAATTATTTAATTATATTATTAAAATAATAATAAGGAAATGCAACCCTTATAAGTAAAAAACTTAATTATAAAACCTTAAATGCAACTTATTATATAATTATTATTATTAAAGATAAAAGATTGCATTATTATATTATATATCTTAAAGAAAGAAAATAAAAATTATAATTTAATAATTAAATTAAAATAAGATAAAGTTATTATAATATTAAGCTTATTATTTAAAGAATTTAATAAAATAAAAATTAATAACCTTATTATTAAAAGTATTTTTTAAATAAAGAAATAATTAATAAAGTAATATAATAAATATTATTATTTTAAGTTTTATATAATATAAAAGGTAAAAGGTAAAATTATAAAATTATATAAAAAATCTTAATTTATTATTTAAGGTTATAATAATAATAAAAAGGAATTAATTTTAATATAAAGCTTAATTATTTAAAAAATAAGTTAATAAATAATCCTTGCATTTACCCCCTTATTAATTTAAGCAAAAGGTATAGTTTTTATACTTTAAAATATTACTTAAGCTTACCCTTAAGCAAAGTTAAAATTATATAAAATAATCCTTATAAAGCTATTAAAGAAACTAAAGAATAAATACTCTTTAAGCATAATTATTTATATTATTTAACCCTTATATAGCATAGCAAAATTCAGCATTTATTAATTTAATATATATTAAAGATATTATTAATAAAAGCTTAAGATAAATTACTTTATATATAATCCTTACTTAATAATTATAAAGCCTATATAACCCTTTAAAATAATAAATATATAAAT